TCTTTGTCGAGAATCTTTTCGTTCACTTACGATTATATATAATTAATGCTGTATTTTCGCGAAATAACGTTCATACACGTTATTTTGAATCACAGCCCAAGCTAACAAGTTTGTGGAGATTAGACCGAGGTTTCTTCTATGTAAGAGGGTTTCTTTACTGAATTCTAAAGATGTTGCGCCAGTAACTACGGTCTGTTGATGGTAAAGGTGAGTGTTTAATTTATTATAAGAGAATGGCTTGGAAGGGATAAAGGAAATTCACGATTAACATAGGAATTATGATTTTGTTTAACAATAAACTTCTCAAAGTCTGACGTGAAATTTTTCAGAATAACGAGACATAATGTTGAATAAGGTTTCTTTACACGTTAGACTAAATTCAAGGGAATCAAAACAATAACGATTTCCTTTTGGTAAAAGCAATAAAACCCGAAGTTCAATAATACAAGCGGGAGGTAATGCTGTTTCAATTACTTTGAACTTAATTTCAAGAGCGTGACTATATATGCATGAATTTTTTGGTCTATGTTTCGGTCTTTATTTTTGGACAATGAGCGAAAGGTTAAACTAAAATCTATTCTATTGCTACGAAATGGTCCAACACTGTACCAAATGGTCAGAATAATGTACCAAATAGTCAATTTACTGTGCCAAATGGTCAGATTACTGTACCAATGTTCTAACGTAAAGTGTTCCAAACAATGTACCAAAATTATTTGATCGGATGATCTATTGCTTAAAAAATTAGTGATGTCGTTAAGCAAAGTTCTATTTGTTATAAAAAAATAAAATAAAAGTAGAAAGAAAATAATAAGGATAATATTATTCTATTTATGATTATTACCAAATCCAAATGTACCAATTGCGCTAGTTTATTGTTTGAAGTGCATGTATTCTATTATTTTGCTAATTTTTTTTATTATTCTTGTTTTCGTTATTTCAGATTTAGGATCAGTTGTCGTCGATCGCGGGCAAGTAAACTCGGAAAAGCTAAGGGTTTCCGGTGGTAATTAAAGAAACAATATCACAACATAAAGGTTCTTCATTTTCCCAAATACATGTACTTCATACAGTCAGTGACAAAAAAACTTAATTTCTTAAATTTATTATAATTCAATAAAAATAAAAATTATTTAAAACATATAAAAATATATATATATTCTTTAATATATATTAAAAAAGACTATTACTAAATAATATTAGTATTGTTTTTTAATTAAATTTTATATAAAAAAATTAATTTTAAAAAATGATTAAAAATTTCATTATATATTTTACATATTGAAAATGCTATATAAAAAAAATTGATCACATTTTTCTTTATTATACAATGAAAATTATTAAATTCTTATCAAAATTTTATTGAAAAATTTCTTAGAACCTAATAAATAAACTTACTTAAGAGCAATATATAAAATAGCTTATCAAATTATTTTTAAAAAATTTTTAAATAATATTTTGCCAAAATTAAAGAAATAAATCTTTAAAATTTTTTAAACTTAAATACAAGTTTATAAAAGATATTACTAAGTTTTTATTAGATTATATTAGTTTTTAATCTTAAATATTAAAAAATATATATAATAATAATCAAAAGTAATGCAATACTTTAATTTTTTACTAATTATAATTAGTAAAAAATTAAAATAATACAATACTTTTAATTATTACTGGATAAAATTTCTTTTTTATTTAAATAATTATTACTTTATAAATTTTTATTCAATTTTAAAATTTACTTTTTTATTACTGATTATATGAATATATAATATATAAAAAATTATATTATATTTGAAAGTGATTTGATTACTAATTAAAATCATCAAAATAGTAATTTTACATATAATCTTGTTCTCTATCCTAATTATTATCCTTATTAGATCTTATAAATTATAAAAATTATTAATAGTAAACTCTAAAAATTTAAGAGAATTGATTATAATCATCCTCTTATATTAATATTTATATATAATATAAAATATGATTATCTTTGTTATATATATAATATTCATAAAAAGTATTAGCCAGTTCAAAATTATATAGTAAATTATTTAAAAAATGAAAAATTTCAAGCTATATATACATTCATATTTTCTAGTAATTATTTCTATTTTATATGATTCTGGCAGAAAGTAATGACAGAATGATCATTAAATCAATATTAAAGACCATAAAAAATATTTATTTCACTGAAATCTATGTTATATTGTAAATTAATTAGCTGAATAATATTACTTAATGCACAAATACCTGTTTTTAAGCTCATTTTTGAAATATTAAAGATTATTTACAATTATATTAAATTGGAATATTTACAAACAATGCTTGATATTTCAAAAATATATTAAGAAATCTGTCTTGAGTAATTAATTAAAGTTATTCAGCTAATACAATTATAGTTATTTACAAAATACTATTTAAAATTAATGTCTATATCTTAAGATATAAAAATAAATATATAAATGAAAATCTACTTATCAATTTTTTTTAAAAACAAAATTATTATTAATAAAAAATAAACAAAAATAGATGAATTATTAATATTTATAAAATATAATGCTTTTATTATGTATATTATGTAAATAAAATCTTAGATAAAATTATTATGTAAAACAATTCTATGTTTAAAGAAATTTAACTGCCATTACTTTCCGCCAGAACTGTATTATTTTAAAGCTTATTATTATATTGTTAGATAATTCCCAGCTGTGAATAATTTAAAGTGCAAAGACCATTTTGATTGTAAAGAAAAAATTTTTTCCCACGCTTTACATATAAAAATTAAAATTTTCAAGATATATACATATCTAACTTTAAGGTTAATCAATTGTAGTTTTCAAAAAATGAGTCCTAGCTGTGGATGGCTTAAGATGCAAGAACTTTTTTAATTATAAAATCAGATGATACTTCTGTGGGTACTGTGCACGTATAATGACAGATTTTTTGACACGAAAATCTCTATAGAATGAGAATTTTTCTAACAACAGATTTGTTAAAATGAAAATTTCCTTTTAATATGAAGCAATTATGTAGCAAACCAGATGAAACTCTATTATACAATTCAATTTCAAATATGCAGAAAAACAATAAGTTTATTTCTTTTCTAACGACAGCTTTTTTTGACGGAAAATTTTTTTTTGTCACCGAATAAATCAGGTGCAGAAAACTTGCTCAAAAATAAAACAAGTTTAAATAATACATGTACGAGAAGAATTGATTGCATGCGCATGTACATGTATCTTTTTTTTAACGAAAGATTTTTTGATAGTCGTTAGATTATTGTGAATTTTTCTAACGACAGATTTTTAGTTAAATGAAAATTTCCTTTAATATGAAATAATTATATAGTAAAACTAATGACCTTTATTATACAATTTATATTTGTACAATTTCAAATATGCAGGAAAATAATAAGTTTATTCTTTATTAACGACAGGTTTTTCGACAATGAAAATTTTCTTTTTTTAGACAGAAATTTTTTTGAATCACGTATAGAGGACTTGCTCAAAGATAAACCAAATTTAAACAATACATGTAACGGTAATACGAGAAGAATTGACTACATGTACATGTATCTCTTTTTAACGAGATTTTTTTGACGATGAAAAAATTTTTTTAGCGTTAGACTGAGAATTTTCTAACGAATGATTTGTTAGTTAAAAATGAAAAATTTCCTTTAATATGAAACAGTTATGTAGCAAAACAAAACTTTGTGTTATACAATTTATATTTGTACAGTTTCAAATACGCAGAAAAATAATAAATTTATTTCTTTACTAACGACAGTTTTTTTCGACAATGAAAATTTTCTTTTTTTAGACGGAAAATTTCCGAATAAATTACGTGTAGAGGACTTGCTCGAAAGATTAACACAATAAAACAAGTTTAATTTAATACATGTAACGGTAATACGAGAAGAATTATTACATGTACATGTGTCTCTTTTTTTAACGATAGATTTTTAGCGTTAGACTGAGAATTTTCTAACGACAGATTTTTTAGTTAACAATGAAAAATTTCCTTTAATATAAATCAATTTTGTGGCAAACCATCTTACAATGAAACTTTGTGTCATACAATTTATATTTGTACAGTTTCAAATATGCAGAAAAGAATAAATTTATTACTTTTCTAACGAATTTTTTTCGACAATAGAAATTTCTTTTTTTAGACGGAAATTTTTCTTTGTCTCCGAATACGCCGAATAAATCATGTGCAAAAGACTCGCTCAAAAGACATAAATAGGGCTTACTTTAGAATTTTTGCGTCTTCTATACTCAGAAGTACTTTTGATACTTTTGATACTTTTGATACTTTTGAATTTTATGATTCATCTTCTCTCCTGATCAACAAATTCACCAACACAATATGTTAATTTGTTCTATCAATAGACCGTAAATTCCCGAAAATAAACTATTATTTTTTGCGACAACTACGAGGTCAAAGAGAATCAAAGTTCCTCTTTGGAAAAAATAAAACATTGATTTTCGGGGTTAATTTATTAAGTTAACACATACTTTTTTGCATCCGAATTTGAGTATTATCCTAACCTTCCCTTCTCTTTTTTTTCTCTATTTGTTTTACTAATACAGTGATCATAAAGATCCGAAAGTGATCATAAGGAATCTTCATAGTTTCTAGTAAATATAAAGGTATCTTTCTTTGATTGAAGAGTTATAAAATTTCGACTTAAAAACTGGCTCTCAAAATAAAACGAATTAATTTCGTTGGCTAGTAGTAAGCTATGCAATATAGCATTAATATGTAATATTTGAATTTGGCACTTCTATAATACTTTTTTTTATATACGGCAATGCACAATTATGGGTAACAAATCTTGTGACGCTGCACTAGGATTCATTGTGTTGCTATGCAATTTACTCGTTCGTATGTGCCATTAGTAAAGTATAAGAATCGTTTTAAACGACAATTAAAAACCAAATTTTATTTATCGTAAAATAAAGAAGAAAAATTTTATAATAAATTACAAATAATAAGTGTTAGTTACGTAAATAAGTGAAGTTATAAAAAGATGAATTATTTTCATCGATAGTATTATTAATAGTTTCATTAATTGTATTAAAAGCATCCTGGTTAGATGACGAAATATTAATCCCTTGACTCGGAGAAATAAAAGATGTACTTTGATTTTGAGTTAAAAAAAGAGGGATAGCAAAAACTTTATTAAATGTTGAATTATTTATTTCTTCGCAAATTTTCGTAGTCCAATTCAAATCAAGGGCGTCTTTTTCCAAATTTTGTATTTTCTCACACAGAGAAAGATTTTCTCTGCTCATTCTCTCATTTTCTTTTTCCAGGTTTAGTATTCTTTCACGCAAAGAAGTGATTTCTGTAATTAACTCTTGCGTTTTTTTCTGTGCCTTAATGAGTTCTTGCTTCTTCTTTTCTCGGTAACGTTTAGCTAAATTAAAATAATTTAACTTTTTTAATGAAATATTTAAAAAAGCATAAATAAAATATTTGATATAAATTATAATTACCATATTCACCGTTATTAATTTTTTGTTTCTTATTCCCCGAGAGTATTGCTTTCTCCTCTTGAAAGCATTCGACTTTGTTAATTCGCTTATTTGAGTTCATTGAATAAAACAAATTATTCGATGAATTTTAAATTTTTATTGGTGTGATAAATTGTATTCAGTAAGCCTTAAAAGTAACAATTAAATATTGTTGTTGTATGGTGAACTCTCGATATAATAAAGGGCAAGTTGAGCTTAAACGCACACAAAAAACCCGGGAAGAGAGAGAGAATTGACGAGGTTCTCAGGATTTATATAGTTTTCTCGTCAGCATTTGTATACATGTAGTTTTCTCGTCTTTATACAGAGGTGCAACTGTAATACAATATAAATACATGTATATAAATTCAATATAATCGAGTTTGTAATGTGTGCTCCCGATTGTTATTTAACAACTATATCTGACGAAACTTATTTCGATAGCTAAACGATATTAATGTATAATTTGTGTTACAACGTCTCGTTATACCAATATTATCGAATACATCCATCTTGATTCATTAACTTGATTCCATATTTGGATTTGGTAGTTGCTAGTCATGTGATATATTGATTTGTTCAAGAACTTGATGTAATATTTGGATTTGCTGGTTGCTAGCTAGTCATGTGATATATATCCAATAGAATCTTTGCTTAGACATGATAACAAAATTAATAGGAATCCTTGATTTAAGAGTTAGGGTTAGGACAAAGTTTGTGTGCTTTCCCTCACAGTTTTTATTAGAGCTTCATATTGGATTTTTGACGTTTATTTTTTGTATTTTCGCATTTTTTATTTTTGTGGATTTGCGATATCAGGAACCGAGTTACAGATCTATTGCATCCAATAGGGATGCAAAATTTTTGTAATAATGTTAATTTTATATGTTTCTAATGTTTTAATAATGATAAATAATAATTAATCGACATACTGTAGCTACTATAATTTTTACATATAATATTTTTGTACATTAATTGTTTCAAGAAATATTATAATTGTTAACTATACAAGAGTGCCTAACTGAATTTCGTCGTTGATATTTTGTCATTTCGCTGGTATTGTTATTATGGTCGATATCTACAGTGAAAAAACCACATGATCGACAATAAATGTAAGAATTCGGTACGTATTCTAATAGTTAGTTCAAAGAATTATATAATAACAATTAACAAGTATAAAACGAAGTAATAACAACATACGAAATAAAGCTGTTGTTGAAATACAGGATAATGAAGTATGTATGTCTTATAGTATTATATTTCGGGTATATACAGTAGTTGTTATGAATAAAATATTATTCATTCCTATTATCAAGTGGATGAATTCTAGTTTTATAATGTTCATTAAATAGTCAGTTATTTTAGTACAAGCACACGTTTTGTTTGTCATAATTAGATAGATTTGTCGAATTCATTTCTAAAAAGTTACAAACATATATTGTATGAGAATTGAGCTAAGGTGAGTAGGAGTATTACGAAATGCGATATCTCGCTGTCTAATGATCGGAATCACATAAAAATACCACAATTTGATTCGAACTAGACGAATCGAATAGTGTATTTCGTGCGATTTTTGGTAACTGGGTATAACATATAACCAAAATTTAATATAACTGGAAAACGGTTAAAGCGTAGTACATTATGTGATCAATCCCCTCAAATTTTCGGCGCATCTATTAATGATATATAAAGTCTGATAAGGGCAATGGTTGGGATTAGGGGATAAGATTATACAATGGCTTATGAAATAAATGTAACATGAAAAATTTTACGGAAAAAATGCTAATGCCTCTAACATCGATTAAATGTACTTGGTTCCTATACTCATTATAACTTAGATAATGACTAAAAAAATATTAATATTACCATTCTAAAGAAATTGCGTGATTTGCATAAATAGTGAAATTTTAACTCCAAATAGTTCGTTATCAGGGAGGATTAAATGGATTGACCTAATAAAAAAATGTACTTCCTAATGAGACCAGATCAATGCTAGTAAAAAAAATAGTTGAATTATTTTACTAGAGCTCTGAAGGAGTCAAATCAGATTTGATTTGAGACATATGCATATTTGACCTGAGCATAAAAATTAAAATATTGGATTAACATTTATATAACCTGAACTTGACTAATGATTTAATAGAACTTTATGTGAAATACTTTAGAAATATTGTTAATCCTTAATCAAACAACTCATGACTGACTCAAATCAACTCGAATTTTGTTAAAAATATTGAAATATAAATACTTTTAAAAATAATATAAAAATTTGGCTTGTATTTTATTTATATGGATTTATTCCAACATCAACATCCTGACAATCTAACACGCTGACAATGCAACATTCAGACAGTTCAACTTCCCAAAATCTAACTTCCTAACAATTCAACTTTTCTTTCCAATACAGTCAAACGTAAAAGTCACTGATCCCTCCTAACTTGCCAAGAATTACATGTAGCTACCTGAAATTTTCAAATACAAAGAACAAAACAAATGCTAATAATCATGCCTTTTACAGACTATTAAATATATTATAAATGACACAAAATGATCAATGAAATTTATATCCCAAAAATAACTCTTTCTGACTACAAGCGATATGAAGTCATATTTTTATATACAAATTCACTAAGTCCAAAAGCTTGAACTTGAAGTTGAAAGGAAACTAGAAATATAAAAGATAAACTTAAAATGGATCAAAAGTATATTAAAAAATCTAAAACAAGATAAAAAATACAAGCATTAGCAAAAAAAATCCTAACATAACAACTAATCAAATATAACAAACATTGGAAAACATTTTATTAGATGTGGATACAATTCAGAGTCGTTTGAATAAAGAAATATACGAGCCTACTTTCCGAATCTCTCCTTACCAATAATTATATAAAAAATTTGCTGTATTAGAGAAAGCAGCATAAGAATTTCAATTGAAATCGCATAATTTTTTTGGATGAAAGTATCTTTGGTTGTATAGTCGAAAAAAATTCTGGTCATTTTTTGGTAATAATATGTAGTCTATTCTGTAAAGCACCCATTAAAAATCTATGTGTAGAATTGTTTTTCAGCCTCAGATTTTGGGAAAATAATCTGCTTCCAAAGAAATTTAAATACTGAATTTATAGCTACCCCATTATGAACTAGATCTTTTGCCATCCGTAAGTCACTTTTTAATGAAAGTTGTATAGATTGGATATTGCAAGAGGAGAATGATTCTAAAGACCGATCGAAACTAGCTCAAAAATGAAAAAAATAAAACAATGTCAATGTATTTCTTGATCATCAATGTTTCCTGACCAAAATCCTATTGAGAACGTCTGGTCAATCATAAAAATTAGATTAGCAAAAAAATTAAACCTCTTAAAGATGTAAAATGCCAAATCATCAAGGAATGAAATTATTTATCTAAAGAATTAGCAGCAAAATTAGCTAGCAGTATGAAAAATCGTGTAATGGTAGTATTAATCTGTACTTTGGAAATTAATAACTAAATAAATTTAGCTAAAAATTGATAATAGATAGTTTTTATTAGAAAGTATACTTTTTATTAAATCATTAACTTCAATTCTCTTTAATATAAAATTATAATTAAATCTTTCTATAATTATCCCACTTGAAAGATCAAAATTGGATGATTCTAAAAAGATATGATTATAGAGAGATTTTTTTAATTATAGTTAATTATTACTAAGAAACTCAAAAAAAAGAGTAATTATAAAAAAGATAACTATAAAAGGTGACTATAGAGAGATCTGACTGTATTTAAAGTTAAAATTTTACTATTTTTATAAATTATTCAATTTCTTTAGAAGGTAATATTAATTTTTTTAGTTATTCTTTAGGTTATTAGCTCTAAAATAAGTATAAACCCAGATATATTAATTGATATTAGAGGTACTAGTATTTTTTATATAAAATTTTTGTATTTCATTTATCTGAATTGATATTTTGATTTTTGGATATCAGAATTGGACAAAATCCATATCCAAATCTAAATATCTATAAAATCTTGATAAAATTGATTTAAGTATCAAGTATTATTAATAGTTTGTTTTGATATTTAATATGATTTGAATAAATTTTTTAAATATTTAAAAAAAATTTGAACTGAATTCAAGATTTTTGCTTGAACTGATCCAAATATCAATTCTGCTTCTGATATTTTAACTAGTATTTCAAGACAGATTTAGATATTGACTTTTTATTTTTTAAATCATGTATGTGTTTTGTTTTGCTATATTAATCAAAAATTTGTCCATTAAAAATAGATTACATGAAAAATTACACTTTAATCACTTGGAAAGTTTACAGACATGCTTAGGAACAGTGCTAAATTATGTGATCTTTCTGAATCATTTTTGCGTACTAGATCACCATATTTTAGACGTGCGCTATTCAAAGAAGGGGCTTGATCTAAAAAATAGAATGATTGTATTTATATTTCACAATTAATTTTTTTAGGGTATATTGTTATCATTTCATATAACAGCATCCCATATACTAATAAACTCAAAATAAATATATGTACACGCATAATTGTACTTGACTTTAAAGAAGAAACTGAACTCTTAAAGCTTTTAGTTACATCTGATGAACACTTCTACATGAACTTCATGATCATTCGCAATCGAACATTTTGCTAATTAATTATTCCAAACAACCACAAGTAATATTCGAAGCAAAAAATTTCGTCACTCTCGAAGAAGAGACCATTACTTGAGCATGACGATCTTGATATGGAAGGAATCGAAGTATGAGAACATGTTCTAAATTGTTCAAGATTCAGCAAATTGCATTATGGTTGCGCAGGATGGAAAAAGAAGACTATTCTCAACCATGTGAAACATCGGTGAATTGTATTCCTCTTGTGAGACCTTTACGAATTTCATTTATAATTGCATATGACCATTCAAAGAAATCCTTCAAACAGAATTATTTGAAGCAATTGAAAAAATTTCATTTTAAGGCTGGCAACCAATTACAATCAGATAACCTACTACCTGCTCATTCAAAGAACAAAATTCATGATTGTTGAAGAGAAACATGTTATTTAATGAATGAGATATCTAGAGATGTGCCTATGCGCATAGTTCCTAACCGATATCGGAAATGCCCATAAAAATTTATAAATTATCCCCAATTAAGGTAATTTTGTACATGTACTTTGATATCTATTTATAAATAGATATATGTGTACACGTACCAGGATTACGATCACACAGCGAACCAAAAATTATTTAGATCGTGCTATAGAATTTGCATAAGATTGTTGATTGCCGGAACAGGAATGCTAATGCTAATCATCGAAATTTCGGAATTATCGAAGTAATGATAACAGTACAACCAACCGTATATCCCCGAATATAAGCAACCACCTCTTTTTAAGACCTGAGGTTCTGATAATATTATATATAAAACATAATAAATTTATACTCGAATAAAAGCAACCCCCCTCTTTGCCCCGCCAAAATCTTGCATTTTTTGGTTGCTTATATTCGGAGATATACGGTATAATTAATTTATTATTGAAAAATATTCTATCGTGTATTATGAAGCCCGCTGGGTATGTACCTAAAACCCGGGTCCGGCCCAGTATTAGAAATCACAAGCCACAATCCACATAATAATGGGCTCAAAAATATGAGCCCAAACTGTATCCAACCCGGCCCATTCCGTACCCTAAGCCAAACTATTAAATATAATCCAATTCTAAATATAAGTTCCAATTCAAATAGAAGTTCTAATTAAATAGATATTATAAACAATATTATTTATCATACAATGTTACAATGATCAAATCGAAGCAAATGAAGATAAATTTATCAGTTTGCTATAATAATTATCAAAAGCGTCCTATTGAAAACGTGCCAGAAGAATCAAATAAACGGAAAAGTTTTCATTTTTATTAAATTCGATTATTTAACTTTCAATCTCATTTATATTAACAAATATTTCTCATTAATGTTTTTTTTATAAAAAATTTTTTAAAATAAATTTGAACTTATCATTATGAAATTTATTTACTACATTTATGCGCACATAGCCGTCAATTTATCACACAACGGTATTAATTGGCTTACCTTTTAACACGAAACTAGCATAGTAGTGCTGGCAAGTTATACGTATGTCGTATTTGGAATTATAACTACTGTTATACAACCCTCTACGTATTATCGTTCTATACACACAAATGGAAATATGACAAGTATCCCGACCCTATTAATGCAAATACTGATATCCACACCTAAAATTACATGTATATCAGGAGCATTGGATATTCATCAAAAAACTTCCACTTCTCAAATACAATCGATCTCGTATTAAGTTTTTGATATTAAAATGGTTGTACATGCATTTGATATATATAAAGTGAATTCATTTCTAATGTTCAAACAAAAATGAATCGTCACTTATATGACAAGTTTGTTAACATAATTTTGACATATAATTATTTGGGACTATATACCTGATGAAACCATTTTCATGTTGACAAATGACGTGGCGAAAAATATCAATTTAAATTACTATATATGTTATTATAAAAGAATTATGCAAAATAAAATTTAATTTTGTCATATACCGTATTGTTTTACAATCTATCACTATTTAATTATTAGAACCTAGGATAATTTCGCAAATTTTGATCATTTTAATTTGCGACATTTATTACATGTTAACTATATTGATTCATTTTAGTCTAGTTTATTCATTCGCCACTGACATTTCTTAACGAAAGCTTGCATCAAATATAATAAGTTGAGAGAGATGGTTTCAACTTAATACCGAATCGACTATTTAGCTCTAAATTACATATATTTAATATAGTAGTAATTTATCTAAAAGAAACGATAATCATAGGATTTATTAATTGGTTTCATCAATCGTCAATTCTTCGAATCAAAAATTACATGACGAAAGGTTCGTCATTCGACAGGTATCATTAGTCGAAACCATTATTATATTACGAAACATTTGGAATTATGGCAAAACAAAAATGATTTGCGAAACCAGGTATATTACCATTTGATTCAATTACAATAAAGTTGCTCGAAAAGATTAGCATAATAACGATAGGTGGTGCATTGCATATGCAACAACATAAAGTTTCTTCGTTTTCTTACATAAAATGATACCGTATTTAGTATGAAATAATCAAGTCAATTCCAAATATTTCCTTATTTCTTTTCTAACGACAGTTTGTCGAAAAGATTAACACAGTAAAATAAGTTTTAACGATAATTGTATAAAGCATGCATATGCATAAATATTAAAATTTTTTCGTTTTTCTAACGAAAGATTAATACATGTACTCGCGAGAAATTTTGTCAACAATAAAAAATTTCCTAAACAGTTATGTAGCAAACATTCTTACGATGAAACTTTGTGTCACACAATTCATATTTCTGACGACAGTGTTTTTTGACAATGAAAAAACCATGTATAGAGAGGACTTGTCGAAAAGATTAACCAGTAAAACAAGTTTGACGATAAATGGTATAAGCATGCATATGCATTTGGCAACAATATAATAGGTTTTTCTTTTTCTAACGAAAGACTAATACATGTAATACAAATATGGAGAAAAAAGATTTTGTTAACAATGAAAAATTTCCTTTAATATGAAACAGTTATGTAACAAAGCATCTTATGATGAAACATTGTCTATGCAGTTTATATTCGTACAGTTTTAAATATCCAGAAAAACAATAAATTTGTTTGATTTCTAACGACAGATTTTTTCGACAATGAAATTTCTTTTTTTAGAAAGAAAAATTTGGCACCGAAAAATTTATAAAAAAATATAAAAGCAACCCAAATTTCAATAAAAAAATTTACATGCTAATGAAAAAATTCATAATGTTCACTAACCTGAGAATAATTCCTTTGCTGCAAGCTCAAATAACAATTTTGGAAAATAAATTAAAGGATAGCTATGAACTTATTCAAAATTACCAAATTGTGTTTAATCAATTGAATTATTCTCTACCCTTTTTTATTTCTCCACCTAATCAAGCCGTTAACGATAATAGTCACACCCTTGTCGACGAAATCAACGACATCAATAATATCAATAATATTGACATTAACCAAAACCCTCATCTTTACTATTATAATGATAGCAACAACGAATCAACACATCCATTTTAGCTCTTCTAGAAATTAACATCTGGACATCTGATGGCGCAAGCATTTGCTAAAAGATAGACATTCTGAATTGTACCAGTTGTTAGCACTTCATTAACTTACTTCTTTATTAATAAAATGTATATAAGTAGTTTACAGTAAAAACGCGCGTATAATAAAAGGCTTTGAAAATTTTCAATTCATATATTATAAAAAACTTGGCGGAGAACGTGTTTAGAAAATTATTTATATTCTGTAAATAATTACAACATATGGTTGAGTACATAGCAAAACCATCCTTAGAGTATATGTATTATATATCCTCTAAGTATGGTTTTGTTATGTACTCAGCCATATTATATAAAGAATGCAAAATTACATCACTCATTCATTATTAACTATTATTTTTGCTTTAACTATCTGTAATAGCTTCGCAATTAAAAAATTTATTAGCGTTGAGAACGTGATGTAATGCTAAATATTGTCTTTGTGTTTTGCTAAAAGTTACCTATATAAGATAGCTCACGAATTCTTGTGAAATTATAAAATAAATGTTCTCTATCTATTATTACTATGATTAACGTACTCATAAAGTTATAGTATCTTAGTAACCTATAAAAAATTCTTTTTGAATACAATCAGATACTAAATGCATAATGAAATAAAGGCTAGCTATACTATATAAGGAAGCATGACAATGAACAATGAATAAAACTCTTTATTCTAAAAAGGAAATAGTTGAATGCATTTATTACTGCACTACATTTGACAATCAACAAAATGTCTTGTGAGAATCCAATAGAAATTAAATGTCAATATGACATGGTGTAAATGTAGAGTATTGTTGGAAGTTTATAAATACGTACGTAGTGTCTTGACAAGAGTTCTTATGTCTGAAAATATATCGAAAAAAATTTTCAAATTTATAGAACTGTTCTGGCGAAAAACAATAAATTGAAACTCGTTCACCCCTTTCTTCTACAGAGAAATGTTATTGTTCTTTTCTAAGCAATTTGAAATTCAATTATTTCTGCTACTTCTACTTATTTCTGTTAATGCTTTCCTACAAATGATTCTTTAAGGATCACATTTCTTTCTCATCTTATGTTCTAGAAAGCTAATACACAATATTAGTTCTGGTCACCCGGATAAAACCACTGATACACTCGCTTGTCATCCAATCAAAATTTTGAATAAACAAAATGAATACATGTAAAAGAAGAATCTGCATGCATTGTCTCATTGTCACCGGGTCACCGATATCTTGCACAATGGCATATACGTAGCACAAATCATCGGTAAAAAATCGATTTTTTATGAAACACTTTTCACATAAAAAGAGTTAATATCGATATTAAAGGATCTTCTTTTGCCTGAAATCATACTTATGATAATTGTTTGTTAGTGGTAATTATATTATATTGCCAGAACAAAGACATTCGCACACGGCAAAAAATCCTTTTATTTGACTTTTTTTAAGTTCTTACAGTAAAGAAAAAAGAAATGCCACCTTTAAATGCTGCGGATGCATGTATGTTGATTTTTTTTTATTAAACTTAAAATTTATTGATATAATTCTAAAGTTTTTGTTATGCGTACATTTATTTCAGCAAAACGCCAACGAGACCGCAAAAAAGTTGAAATCGAGGCAATGAAAAAAAAAATTGAAACATTAAAGAATGAAAATGAAAGACTAAGAAAAAAAGCAGAAGAACTGTCGGATAAATTAATTAAAAAATCAGAAGAAGCTTCAACCCTTTATAATTATATAATTCATATAAAAAATCTTACTATTTCTGAACTTGTTAAGCATTATCATAATCATATACCAAGTATATCGATAAATAATTTTCCATCTCTCGGCAGCATCGATGATATTCCAAACCAAATCAATGCATATCGTGAATCTGAATCATCGAACCAAAAGGATTCATCTCTCGGCAGCATGGATAGCAACAACGATCAAAGCCAAACCAATGTATATGAATTTGAAGATTCTTTTTTATCAGGCCAAAAAGAACCATTTCAAAGTAGCATGTATAACAACGATGATCAAAACCAAAACGATGAATCTTATTTTACATCAGGCCAAAAAGATCCATTTCCCAGCAACATTGACCGTCAAAACTAAATTAGTAACAATGATATTGTCAACTGTTCCATTTACTACATCGATGATATTTGATAACACAACAATCAATAACACGCATCAACAAAAAATTCGCATCAATAGTAACCAGTAATTTACGTGTAAATCACGTCACGTTAATCTGTAATTAGTAATAGAAATTTTTTTAGCTGGCTGAGCTGGCTCGGCTGATATAAATTTTCAAAAGCGATAATATTTATATTACTTTCCTTCTTAAGCAGGTACTGATGTAGAATTTTCAATGTAATTATCTGCCTTTTTGATTAAATTTTCATAAGTGTATGTTCTGTTTGTAATACCATTTCGGCAGTGAATAAATATAATTGTATTTTAAGCTTAGTGTTAGATATTCAGTAATATCATATTTGCGGAATTACGCATGACTGAACCTCATAATCTCTACGGCGGATGGTTGAGGTGACTTGAAGGCTCGCTGGCTTGCATAATCACGATAATAAAAAGTCTCCAATAATTAATGAAAGTTATTTATACTATTTACAATATGAACTAATCACTTCTCAATTATAAAATCTTTGTTTCTTGTATAGTAATACTTTGTATCTAATAGATCGTAATTTGTAAAGCGAACATTAGGTGCTGCTAGTCTCCCGATTTAAAATCCACTTTTGATTTGTCAAATTCGGTGATTGGATTAAACGTCAACGTTAACCATATCGATATTACATGTTCGAAATCCCGAATGAATGGCGTCCTGAATATCAAAATCTCGAATGATCAAAATCCTGAACGAACGAAATCCCGAATAAACGGAATCCTATAAAGTATAGTACAGTGGTCGACATAAATATTCGGAATGTCGATCTGGTGCACAAAACGTCGCGTAACGTTACCAATTTTAAACTAA